AATAAATAAATAATCAAACTCATAATTACTAGGGAGGCGATTGTTTATCTTTTGTACAATAAAAAAACCAATCAAAACTCAAATTTAATTCAACTTTAACTCAACTCCACTATCTCCTATATTATCAATATAATTAAATAATATCAATCAATCATTTTTACACATCACATCAACTTTAATTCACTATTCATCCTCTCATATAATTTAACTAACCATCACTTTTACATCAAATCAACTTGAATTATTTTATTTAAATAATATTTTAATATATCCACGAACAATTAACCATACCACATTTTTTAAAATTAACTATAGTTAAAAAAACAAACCAAATAAAAATTAGTTGAATCCATAAACAATCACACCCTAGATATTCCGACAATTGCTTCAAATTATTACTTCTTCAAAATTTTCACATGGAATCTCAATTCTCAACTAATTCACAAATCATGCCGTTAGCTGCCTAATAATTAAAACTGTTAAATAATATGAGTCGCTCGTGTGCTTCACTTTATTTGTTAAGGATCGACCCAAGCTCTCGCTGGTTTGACAAATCGGGTATATTTTATTTGAACTTTTAATATAATTCAACTCGTTAAATACTCGAGTTCGAGCTCGACCCCGTTTACAAGTACGATTAAACATTCATATATTTTTGTAATAATAATAACTTATATTATATTTTTATTTATATTCTTTTTTAAAGCATATACTTAAATATAATATATATATAGATATATATGTTGAAAATGTATGATTATACACCCTAACAACTAATCATACTAACTAAATTGAATCAAGACCACAGTTAGATATTCTCAATTTAATTTTCAGTGTTTATATGAAGAATAAGGTCCCAAAAACTCTTATCTTTCTCCGATTAATTAACCAGTCCCACTCTAATGTGATATTATTTGTATTGGTTACATTTTTCTTGGTATAAATCTTGTTACTAAATAAATCTTTGACCTATATGAGCTACTTTTTTTAGACATATAACAATATGGG